GCGTGTTCTCATCACGTCGGGGTCAGCACTGTGGCCGTAGAAGTAAAAGAGGAGATCTCCCGCCGGGAAAGGTATCCGGCCCGGGGAGCGGCCAACGCTCCATATGATAGTTCGGAGCTATTCTATATAAACTGCTTTGATTCGGAATATTGATAGCGCGATTTAGACTTCGATGTACTTAGCTTGTGGCGCAATGACAGCGCCGCCACAAACATAATAGAATGACTGTTCGTCTACACAAAAAATAGTCGATAAACTTGCATCGATACTTTTTTGGGCATCTCTACTTACACGTGCCGTCTGCAGCCCCTCTGATTGATAAACAGAGACGCAACTATAATACTGCGTGCTTGACAGGGACAACCTCAGAACTACGACCAGAATACGTTGAACCCTCACGTTTTTGGTACTTTAAGATTATTAAACGTTGCACTTACCGGTGAAACGTGATTTATCCTTCTTGAAATTATGTTTCCTGCTACTACTACCACACCACTTTACTACGCAAGTAGGCATGTTTAACTGTTTTTTTTTATTAAAAAAAATTGTGTTTCCAGTAAAAAGAGTCTCCGGTTTTCTACACTCACCATGCGAAACACAGCAGCATGAAGCTACTATTTCACGCTGGTATTCTGTGAGAGCGTGGTCCTTCCCCGGTCGCGCCGACCCATACGTGCTACAACCATATTACTAATATAACTGCAGCATGGCTCTACCACGAATAAAAATTTTTTCTTTAAATCAGCGTTTTTTAATAATATTTTTATTACCACCACACCAGAATTTTCTCCTGTAACATGGAGGCACCTACATGATTTGCATAAGGACAAACATCCAGACCTGCAACAATTACATGTAGGCCGTGCAAATACTTCATCCGTGCGGGGTTCGAAACAGGGGCTCCGTCGCGCGGAGCACTTATTTATTAATAACAACCTATTACAACTTCTCTCATAGCCGCCAGCAATAAATTGCCTATTTTGCAATAGTTTTCAATATTGGCACATAGGTTGGCAATCGCAGTTTTTATTATTGACTTGGTATCAAGAAGATGCCGCTGCGTATCTCTCTATGTCAGTTTCTGTCTGTCGCATGTCACGACACTCACGGTATGATGGGGCAGTGCAGGGCCTGTGCAGCAAGTTTTTGAGCTGTTGCGAGAACTCGTTGTGGCGACCCAAATGTTGCATGACTTATTTGCGATAAGCCGTCTTAGAGACTGGAGATACCATACATTTTAAACATCCTACTAAGATTATAAATGTGAAAATTTGCGTGTTTGGATAATTACTACTATTTCATGTGAAACATTGGATAGGCTTAGGATACTCGATAATTTGGCAGAGGAAGATTATGATCTTGAATAACCTATAGGTTGTCTACAGCTAAAAATGAACTAACCGATGAATAGCTATGACAGATGATTTTAGCATCGTCTTGCCGGAGGTTTTTGCCTCCGGCAAGACTCCTTCTTGGCCATAGAGCCAAATATAAGAGCGGTAATATCGAGCGTTTCCGACTTTGGTGTTCTGTGTCAGGCTGTGTTAGGGCATTAATGCCCTATTTGCGCGTTTATCAGCCTAGGACTGAAACTATGACTTATCGTGATCGAAACAAACTATCCCACAAAATGTTTCTCCATTAATCGTCGCACAGCATAGTGGAAAATGTTGCAGCAAATGATCATACATGTCTATGTCTATAGGGTAGGTACAAAGCACTGGTTAGCGAGGGCTTTGTATCACCACTCCCACCACTTGTGGTGATCACATAAAATAAATAGTAGATTAATATATATATATATATATATATATATATATATATATATATATATATTAATAGCTACTGTAATACATTTTCTTAAAAATAGTACCAATGAAAAGTAAATGATGTAAATAAAACGCCTAAGTAAGGTTGCACACTTACGTCTATCGTCTTTTAAGAATCAAAAAGCAGATGCCTTATCAACCCTCAAGTTGAGGATAGAATGCTTCAATCATCAGTAAAAGAGTATGAATTCTCGTCCTTCACCATACGAAACCAGTGATTGTCGCACATTTTTAAGAAACATCGGATTGTTTTAAAGTATCTCACATTTATTTTTTGAAAGAAGATAGGTAAGAAAATGAAAAGCAAAATATTTTTTGTAATATTTGATTCTGTTTCCCCTTACATTACTCAATAAATTAAAAAACAAAAACAATGAAATGACAGTGTATAAGATATTTAAGAATTTTTCAATGAACGCTCTAAAATGAAAGGCATTTGGTACGAAACGATACACAGTGAACCACCTCGAATACCCTGATTTATAAACTCAAAAATAAATAAAAATATGATTAATTTAGAATAAAGGTTTCTCGACTGATTCAAATAATTCTGATTTGTCTCATTGAAGATTTACATCATTAATTATTGGAATGTGAGCGGAAACGAGGAGCAAGGGAGTAATTATTCATAATAACACATAATTGCTTAAACTTACTTAACTCACATCGGATATTGCATTGTTTTCGTGTATGTGAAAACTACTGGTTCATGTTTTGATTTTAAGTTTGTTAAGATGAGATTGACATATTAATAGACAAAAATCCTTAAATAGATAAAGAGATCCTAAATAAAATAAAAAACAATTTAACTTTTCCAAATAAAGTGCATTGACTACAGCATAAAATTACCTGTAAAATAAAGTTTTCTATGTAAATTCTTATGAAATACAAACTGAAAGTTCAATCTAGGTAATACAGATACAAAATATAACTATTTTGGAGTAAAAACGTATGACACATATTTTTCATTTACCATTAATACAGTAAAAGCTCTTTCTTTATTTGTGGGGTATATTTTCCGTAAATATGCCACGAATACAGAAACCTTGGATATGGAATGGTAGTTTATATGGGATTACGAGTAGGTATAGGATACGTTCCTAGGTGACAAAATAAAGAAACAAATACATAAAAAATTAATTTAATTTAAGTTTTTAACCATATTCATTAATTATGGTTTTCAGGCTTAGACAATGGTTTAAATAATTTTGTAATTTTTTGCTTGGCAGTCTATAAAAGCTCCTTTAATTCAGACTAATATTCAAGATTGGCATTAGCAATTTGCCTCTTAAAAATAACACTTCGTTCCATACGTATCAATTTTTATAAAGAAATCACAAAGCTCATTTGGCATAAACCTTCACTAAGATTTTTTACTTAAATGTCACATTTCCAGTGCTTGTTGAAACTCGTTTGTCATTTTGTTTTAGTAGACATTATAAATTAGGAAGATAGTGGTAGAGACGTGTTACTCGATTACAAACGAAATTTTATAACGAATGGAAAGATGAAACAATAAAACACACAAAGCGGCTCTTACCAAAGGACAGAACGTCTAATATGTGGCAGCCATCGATCACTAATAAAGAACTATGTACACAATCCCATAGAAAAGTTCTCTAAAAACTGTCGCCAATTGTTGTGACGTGAGCGTTCGAATGTAACTAGATTAAAAGCGCACCCAAATATTCGAATGGGTGCTCATTTGGTGAGGTCGTTTTTTGTCACTGATTGTGTATCTAGTTTTTATTAGTGATCGATGGTGGCAGGATTTAAAAATATACTTTATGCTATTTTCATTCTGTTTGTTTACATTCTCAAGTGATGAAAATGACTTATGACAAAGGCCGAACGAATATAACAGCGATATTATTTAATAACATACTTTAGACGTAGTACAACTACGTCTAAAGTATGTATATATATGGTCTATTTTACATTTTTATCAGTCCCTTTGAGGACGCGTGTACAAAGGATATTGGGTTGGATGCCTATTGTAATCCTTTTTTATTAATATGTATGTACCGATTAGATCCGCGAATAAAGAAAACTTTAGCCGCGAATATGGGAATTGGGTTGCACTTTTCTAATCCGCGAATAGTGAAAACGCGAATGAAGGAAGTGCGAATAAGGAGCTTTTACTGTATTAAAGTTATTGCAATAACAATAGGAATATCGAGTTTTAATTCTTTACTATTACTAAGGACACCGAAATTAGATATTATTATTTATGGGTATATCTAGTTAATTAGGTACCTAGTTACTGACTCCATAGTTACACATTTATTATTTTACTTGCGACCCGTACCACAGTTTCGCAGTTTTCGATTTTTTCGCGTACAATGTCGATGACATTATATAATTGTTCAATGTAAGTAGACCTCCCAGTACTAGTTATTGCCTACTAATGCGAGATCATCTTATACTAGTTATTGGTTAAAAACTTGGTCGATACAAGAAAAAGATTGAAAATAGTAGTACTTCCCATTGGCACTTTTTCCCGTCGCGTGTCGCATGTTTGTAAATGGCAAAAATATGTGAAACAGAAAATATTAGGCAAGAAAACTATCATAGATGTTCACATTGTTATAAAAAATCTTAATTTTTCTAGATGTAGCACATTAACCTACCTCACATTGAACACGAATGTTCTATTATCAGCAAAACACTTAGTACATTGCATAATATCTCGGTGTATTCTACAACCAACTTAATATCGAAAAGATTCAATTTGTTTTCTCACAGCACTTAACCCTACAGTAGGAGCGACCTTAACCAAGGTGCATTTTTATTTAATACGCGCGTCGCATAAATTTTTTTCCGTCGCTTTAATCGGTAGGCTAATTTCACGAAGGTTGTTTCCGAGGCGTGCAAAGTATAATGAGCATTACCGACGTTGTAACTAGGTTTAAACTCGCAAGTTTTCTATCAGAGAGAAATCTTTCTTTTCTTGTAACTATTATTTATTTTGTGCTACAACTTAACACATAATGCCGTACTAACAAATGAACTAAACTTATTTTTGTAAAATACGTTCGTGGAATGTGAGGAATGTCTTATTTCTCTATTTTCCCCACATTTTACATATTATAATAGTAAAATAAATAAATAAATAATGGTGGCAGCCATATATGGCATATATGGCGCGGCGCCACTGTAATAAAATTCACAATGGGGCCGTGTCAACCATTTGATTTCAAAAGCGCGCGAAACGAGCGCGTCGCTCGCCGCCGCCGGCGCCATTTTGATTTTATATTGTCGTGTGTTTGCCCCCCGCGCGTCATTCGTCGCTGTGCATCGAAGGAGACTGCAGTAAATAGTTGTTCAGTGAGTGATTTAGCAAGTTATACGTTACTGATTTGTGATTTTCAACAAAAAATGGAAGATTTTGATGATGATTTGGACTATGAACTATCGCAATTAGATTTATCAGAGTATAATCAAGAATTAAACATATCGAATAGTGATACCCTACAAGTATTTGACGTTGATCTCATATAAATACTACAAACGAGCACACACCCTCCATCTATCTTCCATTACAAATCAAAATGCAGATGCCACCCCCTTCTCACACCAAAACACATAACTACATTTCACCCCCCCCCTCACATACTACTAATAACCAGCATGGCTCTACCACGAAAAATGAGACCATGAGACAATATCAATCGCACGGACGAAAAATCATCATCGATGGCAGATTTTATCTGACAGTGAAGATGATCAGATTCCCATATTATCGCCCTCACGAAATACAGAATCGTTCAGAAATACAGTATGGTTCAATCAGTTGGGTAAGCAAGCAAACATTATTCCATACTGAATGTCCTGGGCTTAAGGCATTTTCATTGCGATCCAGCATGAGTTCAGCTAAACCAGCAGAATTTTATTAATTTTAGAACAATATAAAAGAAGAAACAAATCGCTTTGCTTTACAAACCTTGAATAAAATTGCAACAAAATCATACCGAATGCAGAAATGGATGCCTACAGATTGCCATGAAATTAAACGCTTCTTTGGCGTTTTGATTAGGATGGGGATAGTGAAACTACCCCAACTATCTTTGTACTGGAGCACTAACAAATGTTACAACTGTAACTCAGCTCAAAAAAATGACGACGGAATAACAATTATGAAGTGGAAGGACAAGCGGGATGTACTGCTGCTGTCTACTAAGCGCTCCGTTAGTTTCAGAAGAATAACTAAAAAAGGAAAAGAAAAAATAAAACCGAAGATTGTGCTAGATTATAATCATGCGAAATCAGCAGTTGATCTGTCAGACCAAATGTCCTCTTACACGACCCCTCTTCGGAAGACAACGAAATGACCCAAGAGATTGGCGACGGAGCTATTACTGAATACAGCGATTGTAAATTCATATATTTTATATAAATTAACAACCAAGAAGTAGCTCTCTGTCGTCCAGTTTAAAACCGCCTTGGTTGAATACCTAGTGGATACAGGAGTTCCGGAAACTAGAACCTCCGCTAGACCTAGGCGAGTAAAGCATGAATTGAAGAAGAGGCAAGGATTGGCCTCTGCCTGTCGTAAATATTGTGTTAGGTGTTATAAAGATAACTGTGCCTAATTCGGAAGAGTTCATGCTCGAAATAAAACCAAAAGAGTGGTAACATACTGCGAGGATTGCCCGAATGAAACACACTATTGTATCAACTGTTTCAATTTAGACCATAGATATGTTTGAGTTAAACGTGTTTGAACATGATGATTGGTGTAGGTTTGATTTATTATGTTGCCAATGCCAATTTAAATATGAATAAAAGCATTTAAAACATTTACCCACACATATCATTTGCAAAATACTAATCATTTTTCTTATCACTCTTTTGTTTTCGAAACTTCTGATTACAAAATTGATATTACTCAAAATGTAAGTAAAAGTATTCATGCGATCACTATAGTTATAATTTACCAGCCCTTGTCAACCATATTACATACAGTTTAACATTAAACACGTGGCTGACGACGAAAAATCGCACTTTCAAAACATGCATATTCCGTCAGCCACATATGGCTGACACGGCTCAATTGATTTGGAAAATGTCAGCCATATGAGGCTGACGAGGCATTATATGTGTTAAGAGTTAAGTTAGGCGTGTTTTGTCGTGACTTTTGTGGGCTGATGACGGAGGAGATCGAATCCGCGACTTACAAATATTAACTTTCACTTTTGAAAATACTCACTAGTAGAAGTAGCACATTGGCACAGACGGATAGAACAAAATGATTAAATGGTTCCTACTTGATAACGTGTAAGTGGTGTAAGATGTCTCCAGTGGAATTCTAAAAATCAACAAAATCATTTAATAAACCTCAGATATAATTTGTTACTTACTTTTAAAAATAATATATAACTTTTTTCAAAGTCGATGAAAGATCAAATAAGTTAACTTAAATGTTAATATGAAATACAAATAAAAAGTCTGCAAATGAATAATAGTAGTGTTTATTTTATGTTTATTGATTCTTATCTTTGCCTTTTATTTTGCAACATTACAATCAGAATAATGACCGTTTTTGCGAGAACATACTGATTGTCTAAGATCTAAGTCCACTTCAACAGCTCGCTATCATCAGACAATGTTTTCTCTTTGATCTGCTGGTTGAGATGTTCGATGAGGGCGTCGACTGTCATTTCACCGTGCACCTTATTGTCCCTGGTGCGGACGTTCACCGTGCCAGAGTTCTTTTCTCGCTCCCCTACCACTGAAATAAGACGAAATTGGTATTAGTAAACAACTTTTATAGTTAACGCTACAGCCTCATACACTGTTAAATATAGACCTCCGAAATATTTTATAGACGGGATATTTTCCATAGTTCCGTAGTTTAAGTAACTTTAAGTTTGCAAAAGAAATAATTGTGAAAATTTCGTTTTAAATTTGGAAGAGTTGTTTAACTGGGGATGAAGATAAATTCTTTAAAATTGAATGATATATCATTTTCGAATAAATTTGGGCGGTACGATACGCGCATGACCTACTTGTAAGTTAATTGTACTATGCCTATGACTTTCGCGCAAGTGCAAGCAATAAGTTAACAAAGTTATACCACAATCTTATGAACAGTAATGGTTTGTTTCGCTCTGTCGCCTTTTATAATACTCACGGGACAATATAGGTTAGTAAAAGTAAAGTGAAGTTACAGCCTATAGACGTCCCACAGCTGGGCACAGGCTTCCCCTCATTTCTGAGAGGGTTTTAGGTCAAGGATGTCTCCGCCACGCTGCCCCAATGCGTGTTGGCGAACTTCTACATGTCTTCGAAATAATTATTTTTCTTATTCCTCAGACATGCAGGTTTCCTCACGATGTTTTCCTTCACCGCCGAGCACGTGGTAAATCAGCACTTAAAATTGCAATTAACAATTTCATTGGTGCCGGCGGGGATTGAAACCGGGTTACTCGCGTTCTGTTATATTTACAGCGAGCGTTAACCATTTAAGCTACCACGGCAGCATGGCATGGGTATTTTTAAACCGCCACTATACGGCGGCACACACCATTTGTAAACAATATTACCCCATAAATTGTCCACCATTGAATACTAGTCTCAGCCAAATAAAAAAAAGTATGCCATATAGTATAAAAGGAAATCCTGGCGGGCGTATGGCGTTCCGTATCGGTCATACGGAACGGTCATGGGGATTTTCGTTCGGTTCCCATCAATAAACATACTGATTCTCGAGGAAGGTGTAGGTATATCATACTTGAATTAATGTGCAAATAAAAGCTAATAATATGATGGTATACGTCAATTAAGTCGAAAAAAATGCGTCTTCTAACAGCTTTCATGGTGTGCACTGCGTAAATTGATGTTATATGAAAATAATGCATGGTGAAATTAAAAATTATCGTAATACTTTTTTTTCATTTTGAATTATGCTTCACAATAAATCAAACACAAATGCGTTTAGTACATTTCAAATAGCAAGAGATTTATTTCCATTTTGATTTTTTACCAGAAGTTTCATAACATATTTTTTTAAATTCTTTTTTTATTTAGGGACTTACGGACTTGTTATTTTAAAGATCTGTGATACTCTAGGCCAGTGCCGCAACCTAAGAAGAATATACAGTCAGTCATCGCGTTTGATTTTGTCGACGATAAGCCGACGTAAACAATAAAATTACTAGAGTGTCACAACGGAAAGCAATTAAAAATAAAAACTGTTTACTTTTTTCCACGTTTATACAAATATAATAACTAAATCGGATAAATATTTTTGGAAAATAATAAAAATAGGTATAAGCAGGGTTAAAAAAATTAATTATCAAAAATAGGTTGTTATTATTGTATTCATACATATTGTTTTCGACAGTTTACTATTTGACAGTATATTTTTTATTTATTTGAATACACGTTGAAATGTAAGTGGAAACCTTCAAGTTGCATACACACAAGTTAAATAGAGATAGACAAAGATGGCTTTTACACAAAATTACGTCATTTAATTTTAAGCCTTATTTAAATGGTTTTAAATATCTATTAGTTTTATCTTAACTCAATTACCCTGTTGGGATTACATCAAAATATATTTAAAAAGGTGCAACTAATAAACAACGAGATGTAGTAGAATTCCTGTTATACTGCCGTTTTTTACCGCACACTTAGTGTGAATCATTTTAATTTGTTTGCAACGTGACAAGACAACCCTGCTGGACACCTCCCGAACGACTAACAACCGTTCGGGAGCACTCCGGGCGCGTCTTGCTCCGCACCGCACCGCACGATTGCTCCGTCTAGACGCCTTCGATGAACGACTGTTAGTAGTTAGACTGTGCCAGTACCTAGCGTGTCTTATTATAAATCCATCACTGCTGCTCCCCGTCACCGGTCTGGATATTTTACGCCTGGCGTAACCGAGATGGTTATATAGCTATTTATTGGAAGCCAGAATATTATCTTGGCATTAACAAATAGGCTATCTTACCTAAAATGTAGTTGAACTGGGCGAGCTGGGCATTACGAACTTTTTTGTTTAGGGTGTCGCCAGGGTCGGTGTCCACTTCCGACATAAAGCCGCTCGCGAACAGTTTCTCGTTTACCTAAAATTAAAGGAAAGCAATGAAACATAAAAGAATACAGTGTTGTTTAATTGTGAACCATAGTCATAGAAGTTTGTACACTTTCCCTACTTTATAGAAGTAAGTGACAAAACACCTCTATATACGAAACACAGCAGCATTATGTTGCTATTTTAGGCTGATATTCTGTAAGAGCATGACCTTTTTAAAGATTGAGTCAATAGTAAAATGTATGTGGTACAACCATGCTTCAGCTATGTTATGGTTGTAAGCATGAAGGCGTCGGGTCGATTAGGGAAGGACTACGCTTTCACAGAACACCAGCGTGAAATAAGAGCTTAATGATGTGTTTAATATGGTGTGAGAGAACCTTTTTATTACCGGCAACTACGCATTTCATCTTAGTCATCAGGATTGCCAACATATTTGCATTTTGATTTTTATAGGATA